TTTACTGGGCAGTTGACGAAAAGATGGTAGGCGTCTTCTTCCTCAGGTTTGCATAACTTGCATGTTGGTAACTTGTAGATGTCCGGCTGTCGGCGGTGTAGCCGAACTCTGTGAGGGATTTGTCATGCAGTAGCCGCCACCATGCCGTTCTGGCTTGGTGGGGTATGTCTGCTTTCCAAAATGCCATCCAAGCGCCATGTTTGATGAGCAATCCGAAATTGGGCCCAATCGACCAAGGTGGTCGGCGTCTTCGGAGCTCCAGGGTAGGGTCGTTCAGCCTTTGCCAGTATTGTCGTAGGGCACTAGGTTGAGCGCAGCTCAGCTCTGTCATTTAGCCTTTACCCATGTGGATTTTCCAGTTAGCAACGTAGGGTGGCTGGTCTACAGGGACCCAAGTAGCATCATGCTTGCGCGTGAGGAGAGGATCCATGTGGTACTGTAGAGTTGGTACCGGAACCTGTCCATTGGAGCGACTGTTCCTAATGAATTTCCTTGCCCGTGTGTCTTGCACTGTTGATAGAGGCCTTGTGAGCAAAATTCCATCATCTGGCTAGTGTGATACAATTTCGTGTATCGAGACCGATAGTGGAAGTTTGCTTCTTGGTTTTGGGCGCACGGTATCTTATATAACCACTCCACCACTCCCTTTCTCAACCAATTGTCTTTTTCTTTTTTTCCTTTTGCGTCGTTTTGTGTTCTTGTCGAAAGGGTGTGCCACAATGACTCCATCAATTGTTCATAAGTCAGTCTATCTTGTTCTTCATCGCGGAAGACGAACTTCCAGTGGCAGCGCCAGATGGTCGCTATGGTTATGCTTAGTATAATGATGCTGGAAGGGTTGCGGTTTAGGCTTATTTTGCTCTAAAGGTATTGGAAGCCTTCTACTATGTTTTGTGATGTCAAACATCTCCTTGGCACTGGGAGATCTTTGACAAGCCATATGTTAAAGAGAGTGAGGGTGTATTTCCAGAATCGAAGTTTTGGTGGGCAGTCAAAAAGCATATGGTCGATGTCTTCGGTTGTGTTCGAGCAAACCTCGCAAGCGGGTGAGAGACAGTTATTGGGATATATTTTATGCATGTGTGACCGGCTTGGCCATCTGTTGAGGGACAGCTTCCACCAGATCACCCTATCTGCTTGGGGTATTTGCAGTTTCCATAGATTAGTATAAAAATCTTGTTTACAAGAAATATGTATTCGTGTTGGTATGTCATATTTGTCATGTTGTATCCTAGTCCTTACAACGCTGGTTGTGAGAGATGATACCGGCATATCTCCTAGTGAAGCTTCGTTCATTAGGTTTTGAATATTTTTTGTATATTTGAACGATTTGTGGTAGGGTGGCTGAATTTCCTCTAGCGCAGCCGATTGCCAGTCGACTGAGAACGGTAGGTCTGTTGCCCACTTAGTTTTGGGAGGTGTAGAAGTCTTGTGTGCATGAGATGTGAATTTTTGAGGAAGGAAGGTCAATTTTTGGTGAGATAAAGGATCGTGCTGCGGCCGTTGTTATGTGGGATATTGGAGTGCCGCCAATGAAAGTTTCTTTCATTAGACTTTGTAGTGAGTTGGCAGAAGTTGATGGTGTGGGGACATCTTCCAAAGCTTCTGTGACCCAGTCGACTTGGAAGGGTAGCTCTGTAATCCACTTGGCTTGTCTTGTTTTTAAGAGTTTTTTTAATTTTTTTCTTTGTATTGAGGTTCGCCTTCGGTGGTCGTGCTAATCATGAGGTGGCTTTGTGGAGGCCATCCTCTAGTGAAGTGGTTAAGCGGTGTTAGTAAACGATGGGTTGGGATATGTGTGGAGGGTTGTAGGAACATTGATATGGGGAGGGCAAGGAGAGTAGATGAGAGCAGTTGGGTATTGCGGTATGAATAATGTATGCCGGATACAGTTTTAGTAAGGTTAGGGAGAAAGTAGAAGCCTTTCAGAAGCTGAGGAAATGAGGAGGAAGGGCAGGTGGTCGTTATTACCACAGGGTTGTTTTAGGATTTCTTCCAATATGTCATGAAAGAAGGACCGGAAGGGATGAGAAGGAACGAACATTGGTGTGAGGTGTCTCACTCGTAAGGATTGAGCTTGTTCTTTGATGGGAATGATTCCCATACCACCGTTGTGTTTGGGTTGACATAGTAGTTTCCATGCTATAGCTGGGCTTCTCGAGCTCCAGAAGAAATTGCGAAGGATTGTATTGATTTTTTGTTCATGCGATTCCAGGGGGATTAGACGTGCAATATGCCATAGCTTGGATGTTAGAAGGGAGTTGATAACAAGCGCTTTCCCTGCTTGTGATAATGAGCGGCCGCTGAGGAGGTTGGCATGGTTGCGAATTTTTTGTGTGGCTATGTCATAATGATGAAGGTGGTGCCGTTTGGACGGTGAAAGAGGGTATCCTAAGTATGTAGGGCATGTTGAACTGTTTGAGTCATACCATTGGTACTGGGAGAAAGTCAGATTGCCAGGATCCAACTGTGCCTCTCTTCACTACTCCGATGGTTTTTTTCTTTTGTCATTCAGTTTGGCATTAGACACTTTGGCATATTGATCATAAATTTGCATGCTATGTTGAAGTTCCTCTGGAGAGTTAATGAATAGAACAGTATCATTTGCATATGCCATGCAGGTGAGTGATAAGGTGTTATTTAGCTTGTAACCTGTCAATTTTTTTTGGAAGGATCGGAGAAGGGGTTCTAACATTAGGTTGTAAAGGATTGGGGACAGCGGGTCTCCTTGGCGAAGCCCTCTTCTTTGTCGGATTGGACGCGTGAGATAGCCATTAACGGCTACTCGAGTTTAGACTGGAAGAAGAGTTTGGATATGCATTTTGTTGGCTGTTCTGGAAACCAAAGTGCTTTAAAGTTAAGGCAAAGTATTCAGGGTGGACCCTGTCATAAGCTTTTTCTTGATCCAAGAGGATCATGCAGGGTGTAGTCTGGTCGGCTGACCTCATCTTCTGAGCATGCTCCATAAGGAGTATTGCGGACGCGGCGTTGTCAGCTATATATCGTCCTCGTATAAAGCCTGTTTGATATCGGTTGACGCATTTAGTGGCTAAAAATTGTATTCTGTTCGCCAGGATTCTAGAGAAAATTTTATTGTCGGTATTAGTAAGTGCAATTGGCCGCCAGTTTCTGAGGTCGTTGCGATAGTTTTTTTATTGTATGAGGATTGTGTGAGTAGAGTTCCAGCTTTCTGGAATGCTCAGATGATGGAGTGTTTGGTTGCATTGGTGAGTAATTATGTCGATAAGGATTGTTTTTTGGAAGGTATCGTAAAACTCGAACGGTAGTCCATCGTTTCCCGGTGCCTTTTGTTTGGGAGAGTCTAGCAAAGCTTGTATGACCTCGTCTTTAGTTATATTTTTTAAGCATAGGGAGATGTCGTCTTCATTGAGTACGTTACTCGGTGTGTCTTGAAGGAATGTTTCTGTTGCGGTTGTCGATATGAGTGTCGGTGTAAAAAGATTGTCGTAAAAGGAGGTGGTTGCCTCAAGGATGTCGTTAGCTGTGTTGCACAGTTGATTTGTAACTGGGTGTGTAAGCTCAGCAATTTGCGCTTTAGCTTGTCGAGTTTTCAGGGTGCGATAGAAATAAGCTGTGGATTTTTCGCCCTCTTCCCTTCATTTTATCCTGGCCCTCACTGCCTGGACCTCCAGCTTCTCTTTTTGGGTTTGATCCAGTTGAAGTAGTAGGGACTGTATTCTAGTGTTTGCCATGCCATCATCTTGAACATTGTATGGTAGCGACAATTGGTTAATTTGCGTTTGTAGGTGGTGTTCGTTTTTTTTGTTTTCTCTCGCTCTTTTTATACTATACTCTAAGCTGAGGTGTCGAAGCATCTGTTTTAGAGAGTCATATTCCTCTGCTGTCATCCTGTCTCTCGTGGCGTAGTGGAATGGTCCATCTGATGTGAATATGAATTCTAGAAAATCTGTGATCGTTTTTTTATACTTAATTTCCTTCAGAATGGAGGTATTCAGTTTCCACCATCCGGGGCCTTGCTTGATAGATGCTACTTCTAATCCTATACTGAGCATACTGTGATCTGTGAGAGAAGGAGGGGATGGGATAACGTGGCCTACAGGTTTCTTGAATATCGAAACATTTCTGATTTTTCCGAAAGTTGCCATGCTCTGGCTAAGAACCCGTACAATGGCTTCTTCACTAGGAAAGAGTGGCATGTTCCTTAGTTTGACGAAGGTTAGCCTGGTTTTCATGCTTTCGGTGCTAACAGCTTTTGGTTCGTAGTCCTTGAATGTGATGCCTTGCTCTGTCGCTGTTTTGCGATGGACGGCGGCAACACTCGGGTCGAAGAGGATCTCAATGGCGTTTCCTTTGGCTCCAACTTGACGGTATCCTCGAACAGATGCAGGCGTGAACTTTTCAAAGATTGCCAATAAGGCGTCCTCTATGATATCCTGGGTGGTCGGTAGATGCGATAGGTCGAAAACAACTGCTCCGGGGTTGATGTTTCGGAACAGTGAGCCGGTGCTGGTGATAGCAGTTTTCAGTGGATTAGTGGGCGATTTGAAGATGTTTTTGGTGACAGAGTTGGCATACGATAGGCGCCCGGTGGGTGTCTTCTCAGGAGAGGTAGCGGGAGTGGGTAGTTGATGTTGCTCGGGGTTGTCAGGTCCTCCAAGAGGGGACTGACTTTTCGCATGTGAGCTTTTAGAAGTGTTCATGGAAGAAAAGCTTCGATTGATCGAGTGTTGGCGTTTTGGGGACAAGGTCCAACGTTGGTCATGGAAGCCGACTCAAACTGTATGTGAATTGATGTCGGATAGTAGGATCTTGCTATGGCCTCCCAGGTTAATCAATATAATGGCAAGTTGCCACACTTTGATGGATTGGGCAAGTTGGTGATATGGCGGGCTTTACGAGCCTCGTATTATACCGTAGAAACGCCAAGATAAATACACTGTAATTGGTCTTCACCTTGCCAGTTGGCACCCAACACGGTTAATGAGTGAAATCAAGGATTAGCTCATCTGCGGAACCTTCAATGTTGATGAAACATGCCGAGACTTATTAAAGCCAATCTCAGCCTCGTCGTTTTGCATACCATGACACCGTTGGAGCTAAACTATGGAAGGATCTGTCGCCATTTGCAATGGTAATGCAGCTGCAAAAGGACTACAGCGAATTTGTCAAATTTTTTTGTCGACTTCTGTGCTACCGGAAAGGAACCAAGATTCGAGGAACTCTCAATACTTATGCTTCAAGTGCAATCGCTACAGCTGTCAGAACTCCGACCAGGAGAAGGTAAATTGCGATGCAAAATTTATAACGAAAATTCTATTTCAACCACTGTCCAGAGATTTCGATAACACGGTCACCGATTTTCAGACACGCTTCATGCCGTATAGACAGATTCTGGAAAATAGTTGGGTTTTTCCACACGGATGGCGCATGCACGTAAAGTGTATCCTTTAGACTGAACCGTAGGGGTACTTCTTAAGACAGGAGATAGCGTATGACAGGCTACACTCAAGCTTCCTACCATATAGACAGATATCAGATAATGGTCTAGTTCTTCAAACATTGATGGCACATGCCCATAAAATGGATGCTCAAGGCTGAACCGTAGAGTACTCTCAAGGCAGAAGAAAGCCTACGATAGAGTACACGCAGATACTTTGCGCAAGTGGTGCAAGCAATTGGCATTCCGTACATGTTAACACGCTGTGGAAGTCAAGTTATTCTTACGCTGACGTAATAAGCATAGGAATGAAGGGAATACTACAGAAAACTCATTAACAGTGTCATTTTGGCATGGTAGGTGTGACTTTAATCAAGCTAGAAAGAAATAAGTCATGATTATAGCCATATCTCACTTTTTACACATGAATATAACAATTCTCAGACCGTTTGATAGTCACATAGGTATGGCGACGGATGGCTTCGGGAGTTGTGTTATTTTCAGATCCCAGCGAGACGAATCAAGGAAACGAAATTAGAGCGAAAGGACGGTAAGCAAAACCGAGCAAGGAGACCCAGAAGTTTGTGTTTTGAATAAATACCAACGGGTGTGTCATTGCTGACGTATCCACTAACACTAATTCATATATCAGCAGCAAGAACTTTTCGAACACGCCGATCCCTTTGGTGTGGATCCTGGCATGAAGACTTTGGTTACTGCTGTTAGGCCTGAAAATGTCTACGAGAGATGCAGATAATAAGTATTCAAATATGCTGGTACAAATGAATGAAGATCGAGTAAAGTTAACGACATATGCGTTTAATTAGCTTATTGGGTGAACGCTCGCTTATCACGCGCGTGTTAGAAAAAAAGATCTCACCTTCAGCAAATGGTAGTGAAGGATGCTGCTGGCCGGCTGTCATTGCTGGCAAGGAATAGCTATGACCTGGACTACATGCTTAGCTGTCTTTTACAAACGCTCTGAAAAACAAGGTTCGAATAACGCCAGACACCAACAGCTACCAACCCCGACCCTCCCAGCAAAAGAATCTTTTGCTTAATCCGTAACGAAACATCTATTCGAAGCTCCCACTAAATCTCTCGGCTACTATGGTGGCCAAGAAGGGCTTCATCTATAGAAGTGTTAACCCCAGTGCAATCGTTTTCAATCTGTCATCTATACGAACCTCCAACAATTCAGTTGAAGATGTCCCGAAGCCATCTTTAACAAACTTACATCAATCAAGATCCGAGGCTACCTTCAGGTTGGCCCCAAGAGAATTGGGATCGAAATTATTTTCAACATAAAGATGGCATCCAAATGCGTAGGCAAGCCACCGAATCGAGTATCAAGGTCAACAACGTCAACATTTTTGCAACCGTGGCTCAAAGCATGAGAACGAGACTGACATTCGTCAAACTTCGCGACATGCCCCTGTATCCCAGCGAAAAGCACTCGTTAGCATGCTTAACCAAAGTATAACTGATTTTGGAAAGGCCAGAAACGTTTCCATTTACAAAATGTGGTAGGCAATGGAAATTTACCAATGCTATGGTGGAGAAGGATTTATCCTTCTCCATACCACCAATGCCAACGAAACAACTTACCAAGAACTAAAGCCATTCATTTACATACCTGAATGGCAAATAACCATCCTGGCCAGGTGGGAAAATGCCCCTTGGCTTGTAATTATTGCAAGCAAAGTGGACATCTTATCAAAGATTGCAATGTAAAGCTAAACTTAGCAATGGTTCTACGCACATGCTATCGTTGCAAACAAGCAGCTCATGATAGCAAGACTGTGTCAACATCAACACAGTTTCCAACCAACCTTCCTCCCTGTGAACCGATCACATTCTTTTCAATGTCAAATTTACAATCGAAATTTGTAAACGGGCTCGAAAAGTCTCGTGACTTTCGAACTCGTATAAATGGACATTGATGGGAATAGATGAACGAGGACTTTGACGCACTCAATAAGCTCATTTAATAGCAGAGCAAGGCTTATATACTTAGCGTATAAGCACGACTATTCGAGCATTGTGAGAAACGTCAAAAGCCAAACACAAATACAACGATTTTAAGTATATAATCTCTGCAATAGATATTCCCAACCAACCGCAGTCCTTAATGCGGATCAACCCTCCAGCTAAAAGCCAGATTTTCGACACCGAGAAGGAAACTCCATCTAACTTCCCCAGCTTGGATGACGGGTCTTTGTTCTCACAAAGCCAATCTACAAATGTCATCCAGACACAAACGTAAAGACATACTACAAGAAAAGAATCATAAAAAACCAACAGGCACCATTAAGGACTTCGCCGATGCCGAACCGACGAAGATTATGTAGACTCGGATGATAATATGAATACGGAAGCAGACGAGATCTTGATAAACTTCCATACTGTACAATAGCGGTGACGTCGTCTACACTCTTATTTATTCATACAATTTTATCGCAGGCAACTGCGTGGCTTTCCTTTTGATTGTGGCTACGGTCTATACAAATGTACTGAGTGTTTTGACCCTGGAAATACATCTTTTCTTATCTCTTCCTACCTTTCTTTTGTCCCTGGATTTGACATTACTGCGTGATCCAAACAGTTAACACTGATCCTTCTTAGTAGCCCACTCTACCACTACAAAGCATATTAGTCTCTTCCGACGGAAAACCGAACACAGGATACCATTACGAACTCGGAAGTTGATGATATTGAAATGAACAAAATCATGAACTACCCCAAATCCACATTCTCTTATGATTCCCTTCATGCACAAGGCCAAAGAACCTTCCGATATCAAACAAATACCCAGTTGACAAACTCAACTCAGCTAACCACCGAGATCATTAGTGTGGATAATTTGCAGCGAAATACGACCATAACCCGCTAACAAACACCCTCACCAACACAGGAAAATTGTTTCGAAGTATCAACCCCGGAGCAGTGGTCTTTGACCTATCCCACATCCCTACCACCCAAGAAACAATGGAAGATGGCAATCTTCGATAAATTTACACCAGCAGCCATCCGAGGACACAGACAGATTGGTTTCTTTCGGGGAACCTGATGGACAAGTCCTCACTATTGAATATCTGACCAACACTATCCTTGATTGGCGACCACTGATGACGACAGACATGCGACTCCCTCTGAGAGGGGATATCTTCACCTTGATAGGCATAACCATGCAGACCATTTGGGCTAGACATTGGGCATATGTGTTTGATGACACCTCGTTCTCGGTGGAAAGTTGCAGGAAGTTAATTGTCAGGCGGATGTAATCACTGTAAAGAAATAAAGAAAATAATAGATATTATAAAGCGCCAGAAATTTATTTAGAGTACGTGCGCTCAACAAATTCCATACAAAAAAAAACCCAGACAAGTTGGTCCACACAATATACCATATTGACGAATTGACGATGGAAGTGGATAAAATACATCTCGACATATCCATTTCCTGACAGCATCGCGAATGAAATCTTTATACTAAGCTACGCCTCCAATATACAATCACTATCGATCCATCTTATTCGTGTCTAAATTAAAACCAATAAATTGCCAAATCTACCCTGAAGTCAATTTTTAGCATTGAAAATTCCAGTAGAGTAGGTAGGGTATTGTCTTCGTTCAAAGTCAGAATCCCATGTAACATGTTAAAAACGCGATCGAGACTGAAACTTGAGGAGCAGGACACATTTCCACGCTACGGGACTGAAACTTCGTGTAAGCCGGTTGTCGGTAGTCACAGATCTGTAGGACAAGGAACAAGCCCTAACCCAAAATATAAGTGCAAGCCCTACAGGCTCTGGTGCGATCCCAATAAACGACACTTCAATCCTCATGTCTACAAAATTAGTCGTAGGTGGTATAAAACTTGGTATTTTTGGTTTGGAGGAATATAAATTGAAACAGGAAAGCTGTCCAGTTTCTGTGATATTTTCCTTGCATGGGCGACTACGTGAGTGCAAACTGATATACATAAGCTTACAAAGACGCACCAAGCTAACATCACCGTTGAACATTCATAGAAAATGCAGAAAGGATGACGGAAATAAATGAAGCTCTAACTGACTTGAATTCCAAAGCACCGAGGGATGCAGCTTCAAGAACTCATTTATTGGTTGTATCGTTTGACCACGTCAATCATGGCAGTCGACTGGTGGATAACAATAAAAATTTAGCTTGGCGAGATGCAGAATACGACAATAAGTCACACGCTATGGATATGTGGTCTTTCCAAAAATCTGCAGCTGATACTGTGTCTCTTCTCATTGACTTGTTGGAATTTTACATATTCCCAGAACAAAATACGAAAATTGTACAATATGGCGTATTGGGCTTTTCCCTTGGTGGCCATGCGTCCTATCTTGCAAGCTCAAAAGGTTTAAACCTGGCACGTTAATGTCGAATTGTCCACTTTTATGGCATACCTAACGACATTTGCAATTTCAGACTCTCGACTCAGCCTTTGCGTAGCTTTGGTGGGGTGTGCAGATTACGAAGCATTATTGAAGTACCGAGCAAACTCTTTGGATCTACCTCATCAAGCACCATATTTGCCTGAACGATTTTTGACCAACGTTGTGCGTAAATCAGATACTATTCAACAACCGGATAATCTATTTTCAATCAAGTTGCTGATGATCAATGGCGGACAAGATAATGTAGTACCTGCCAAATGCAACACTAATTTCGTTGAAAAAGTGCGAGCCTCACATAAGGGAGTCGAAGGAAAAGATTGGGAATGGCTAATACTGCCTAACCTTGGCCATGAATGGTCAACAGAAATGATTCAATCATGCACACAATGGTGTTTTGAATGGATGCATTACAAGACGATGTAGATGAGTGTATCTTTGTTCATGGCTTTGTAACAGGAAACAATAAAAGAAAATGAGGAACAAGTGAACTGGTATCCAAATACACTATCTAACGTGAATGCTAAATGACTATGTGAGAGATATGATGCTATGAGCGCGTTATTACTGATCTCTGGCATGAGCAGCTGCTTGCTTTTGCTCCCTTAGTACATCGATGTTTTTTTTGATTTGTTCATCTTTCTGTTGGAGAGCTTGTTCTTCACGCTTGAGCCTGTCGATTTCCTCTTTGAGCTGTTGTTCGCGCGTCAAAAGTGTGGAAGTACTTGTTTCGCTACGAGCAAGCCCACCTGCGTGGAGAGGAGACTGAGTTGACTCGACTTCTGTTTGTGTAACTTCAGCAGTGGGGGCAACTTGTTGTTCGGTATAAGCGTCTGACATCTTGGTTATGAATCAAGCAGATGAGGTAAAAGTAAAAAGTGTATGCGTTTAAGGGCGTAGTGGCGAAATGGCCCTGATTCTTATGCTGCCCGGCAGTGGAGAAATTGCTTGATTTACGTCATCGGCGGGGCCATTATGGGATGAAGTGACTGCGTCATTGAATTAATTCGTATTTTGTGATAGTTGTTTCCATTAGCTTAAACATTTTGGCAGCTTTACTTTCGATGTATTTGCAGTCCTTCGCTAGCGTCATTACTTTAGGATCTGATTGAGTTGACTGACCGAGCCTTCCTAGTCTTCCCGCCATATGTTTGTAGTCGCCAATAGAATCTGGAAATCCGACGATGAAAATGTGAGAGATATCTTGCAAGTCTATACCTCGTCCAGCCATTGCTGTTGCTACATAGAATTGTGCCTTTTCACCTTTCGATATTAAATTGTACAGAGGGATGGCCTTGATGCCGCTTTGCTGTAATCTGTGAAGGACTTTCTTAAACGAACCATCGTTTTGGACAAAAATGATCCCTTGACTGACGGGCTCGATGTCACACAAAGTTTCCAGGCACTCCATCATACTGTCATCAACATCCTGCTGTGTACCAGTCGTATCGTCTGAGTCGAGATCTCGCGTCTCCTCGTTTTCGTGGTCGCTTAGCGTTGTCTGGATGTTGCGTACTTGGTCGGACGACACAACTATACAATGGTGCTTTACATTAGCTGTCGCGGGAACTTTGGAGTTACCGTCAATGTATTTGGGATCTATTATCCATTTCTTTTGTAGCAACCAATGTCGAAGTGGTCTATTAATGGTAGCAGAAGATATAATGATCTGGGGCTTGGATTCTTGTGATGTAATGATATTGTCCAAGATACATTCCGCGGGTTTTGGATGCGCCAGTCGATTCCATTTCTTTTTCCGATTTGCAAATCGACCTGGTAGACGAAATGCATGGTCTGCTTCATCAACAGCAATAGTTTTCCAATTGTCCGTTTGAAGCCTGCCTTCCTTGATAAGAGACCAGATGTGGGATGCGGTACCAACCGTTAAAGAAGAGGCAGTCACATCGACCATTTCACGTAAACTTTCTTGTTCACCAGCTATTTCTAAACGGACAGGAACGTCGGTGGATATCCTTTCCATCCATTCGCTGACTTGTAATGCTAATTCTCGGTTAGGTGCCAGGTACATTGATGGGCGGTTACGTTCGCTAACAGCAGCTAGAGCCATTGCAATAGCAAATGATTTGCCAGTTCCAGTCGAGTCCTTCAAAAGGACATCACTCCCAGATAGAATGCTTGGTATAAGCTGGCACTGAACATTTGTTGGCTTGGTTATGCCGAAGTTTTGATTCAAGCGTTCGCAAACAGGTTTGCTGATTCCCAGCTGTTCAAAACTTTGACATTCACTGGTATAATGTCGAAGGGAGAATATATTTAAACGTTGAAATCTAAGCAAGATCCGTTGCTGGTTCAGTATGGTGCTACTTATTGGTTTTGCGCACAGTAAGCCTTGCTGAATTCCAGTGAACAACGACATGCTGGCAGCCAGAGTTGCAATATGGCTGTAACCGGTTTTAATTTTTTGCAGTATTCGTGACTGCAGTTGTCCTCAGCTGTCAAGGCGAGGAACAGACCTGGTTTTTATTACAAAAGTAATGGATAGTTATATATTGCTGAGCACGTGATGTGTATATATGACACGGCTGGCGTACGAAAGAAATGACACTGAACTGATTTAAGCCTACTAGAGTGTACGTTGGCTGATGGTCTTTGGTTACAATATTAACTATGTCGTATCTGTCAACTCCAACTTGGTTGACTATTTGGTAAGGTGTTGAAGCAAAAGGTTTTGTGAGCTTACTAGCAACACCTTGTATTTTGCTGGACTGGGTGAATTTACGCAAAAGAACTTTGTCTCCAACTTTGTAGCTAGGAGTAGTCCTTGTTTCGCTGTCTAATTGTGCGTTCTGTGTTTGGTAATTTTGGTTTTCAAGTTGAACAATAGCATAGCATGTTCATACACAAGAGAGAACGGAAAAAACAAGGTTGAAGAATGTATAGAAGTGTTGTATGCCAATGATATATTAAAACGGGAAGGAAGTGCAGGTAATTGAAAGGAATCCGCCAAGGATGAAAAGTTAGGTCTGGAACAACAACGGATGGAGGGAGGTTATATGGTAATCCGATCGGAAACAGTATCAATCTGTGCCTTGAGTCTTTTCAAATCCGGATAACCAATAATGGCTGGATGAGCCAGACCCTTAACAACATGAAGTTGTAACTTAATGGGTACGTAATGGACAATGGCGTCCGCAGTACAAACACCTCTAGTAGATACTTGGCTTGTATCAGCCTGAGAAAGCCTAATTTGACGAGTCTCATCGACTTTGAGTCCAAGCTGACTTGCAGTTGAGTCGCTGATTGTAGAAATACTTGCACCAGTATTTACAAGACAATTTACGTGTTGGCTTCCAATTTGACATTTGATGCTGGGACCATCGTATGTGATGTTTGAATTAGTCAGATAAGTGAGAGAACATATAATGGAGGAGGAGTCCGGGTGGTTGAAAATGCTTCCCTTTGTCGAGGAATCGCTGCTGGGTGTTTCAGGATTTTCTTTGACCGTGATAGTATGTATATTTGCTTTCTTAACATTTTGATTCTGGTAGCATTTCTTGGATAAATGCCCTTTACGATGACAGTGTCCACAAATAGGTACACCAGGACTAGCCCACTGACGCATCGGATCAGTGTTTGATAGATGATCATCCCGTTCATGATTGAAAGAGCTATTTCGTTACTTCCGATTGGACTGCTTAGAAGACGATCGATAAGAATGTCTTATTGCATCAATTTCCATAGGGGTTGGGGATGTAGATCTTGGTGGTACCGTTCTTGACACAGCAGATGTAAAGGAGTTGCCATGAGACAATAAGGCGACATCTTGTGTATCAGAAGGTATAGCGTAAGAGAAAGCCTGAATATTTGCATAATCGCCAGTTGCTGCTAGGTTTTCATAATACAGAGAACGCTCGTATACAGAGGTCCAAGTTGTAAGCTCGTGTAGACTATTAACAATGAAAGTTTGGAGGTTCGGATTGAGATTGTTGACGAATATCGCACGGAGTTCGGCTGCCGAGGGGACTTTTCCTGCTGGAAATTGAGTCGTAGCTCCTTCAAAAGACAGCGAAACATCTTTAGATTCTTGTTGCCTTGCTTGAGTGCTTTCAAATCTTTAAGTATCAACTTGGCTTCAACGGTATCATCGTTGCCGAACAAAGAGATTAGACGTTCTTGAGCATCTAGCCAAGATAGCTTGCGAATGCAGTTGCGAGCCCAGTCTGCTGCTTCGGCAGGCAGATAATGGCGAACAGACTTAAGTTTGAGGTCGTCACTAAAACTTATTATGTCTGTTTCGTTATTATAATGGTTCAACCATGTCCGAATGTTGTCGTGCGTTGAGTATCGTCTTATGGGCAGATTTTTGGCTTCCATAGACTGAATGAGTTTTACAATAGGTTCATTAGAATCAATAGTAAAAGGTGAATGTTCACTATGCATATCGCTTTCTTGTTGCTTTATTTTAGTAGCAGAAGGTGACATGATGAAGGATCAATAGTAGTATATTCTATTAGAGCTGCCGGGCTTCTCCACCATGTAATGGCCAGCGAAGTAATTCGGAACAGACCTGGTTTTTATTACAAAAGTAATGGAGAATTATATATTGCGAAGCACGTGATGTGTTTACATGGCACAACGCTGAGGATTATTGCCCGACAAGAACGTTCAACTTGCAAATATCAGGTAACCTTTGCAAACCGTCGAATAACTGTAATGGATACAAAATGAAGCAGTATGTAGTAGACTTCCCACTCCCTCGCTACCCCACCAATGCGTTCGGCTTTTTTTTTTGTTAATTTTTTATTTCTTCATTTTACAATTTCGTTCATTCAAAGAATATTAGTCGCGGTCAACAATTCTCTGAAGACAGTCTTCAATCTCTTCTACTGAGAGCTTTCGGAAGCGTGTAGCACCTTTTTCAACAATTGCCACTTCAATTTCAGTCGCCTTGAAATCGGCAGCCAACACCGTCGACAAAGTTGTTATTGCAAGCTTTAAGAATGATACGCATTAGTGACATGGCAATAACCATCTTCTCAAAACATCACTCTATTCACCTCAACAGTATCATTGATATCTAGCTTTGGATCCTTTTTCAACTTCTTTTCCAAATGATTGAGGGCTTCTTGTTGTTTGGCACCGGCAGCGGTTGCACGATAACCAACATAATATCCTGCTGGGTCACATTTGAACAGTTGTGGACCAAACTCATCATCATAACCAATCAGAATTATAGCTTCAAAGGTATGACAAAACTGTTAGAAACGCTGCAGTGTGCATTGAAAGCAAAATGCGAGTGGATACATACAACAGCCAAGCGGTCGGAATCTGGCTTCCTGGGTGGCAACTTGGTTGCTGTTCGCGATAGCCTTTGCTAGCATATCTGTTGGCATCTCGTATCCATACTTATATCGGAATTCGGCGGCTTTCTGGCGAGCCATCGTGACTTGAACACGGGCATCGGCTACAATCAGGAATGTTAGTTCATGAACTGAATACGATGAGCAAAAAGGGTGGAAGTCGTCTCAAAAAGGCTTACCAATCATTCCAGTGACAACGCAACCAATAGTTGGCGTCAGAGAGAAGATGTGGGTGACAGTGGATGGGTCGAGAAGCTTATCCTGTTTCAAAGCATTAATAAAACTGCATTTGGTTTACAATATAAGTCAGGTACTGTGTATAGCTACATACGGGTATTTTCTTTTGAGTGACAATTGCGCAACCATCTCTACCACGTACACCTAGTGAGGTAATTCCAGCGTTGCTGATTGCTTTGAATGCATACTCTATTCCGGAAACAGTTGAAAGCATAGTCAGGCACTACATTTTAACAAAGTAGTTTGTTGAGGATTGCGAGCACAATTCTTACCAACTTGGTACAAGCGACCTTCTGGAGAGAAAATAGTCAAATGTCTATCGTATCCTGCGCTTGATCCACGACTCATGCTGTATGATAGGCGATTGGACGAAGCAAAGGGTGATCTCGCGCGAAGTTATAGCCTACGCGGCCACAAATTGCGCGGCGGGTGTGACGTCGATTTCAGCATTTCAACGTCCGCCTGACGGACAAGATTCAACCTGTACCGTTGCTACTGCCTACGGTATACTTAGAGACAAAGATGGGAGACAAAGATGGCAATCAAAGAACATGGTGATAAACTAAAAGACTTTTGAAATATATATTAATAAATCAAGAACGTTAACTTTCTATTCTCATGCTGTAAACCTATGGAAACTTCTGCATTGCACCTGTTCAAAAGTGCAGCGAACAAAATTTCCACAGTCACATCGGTGGCCGCAAAAGCAAGCACTTTCAAAGTCCAAAGTGTACCCTTTCCATAACTTATATCTCTATGGCACATGGAAAGCAACGATTCAAGGACAATCGAAAGCAAAGAAACAGCTATGGCCAGATTATAAAATCTCACCGAAAACACAAGTCACCTGCTGGAAAATCCCCCAGCTCTGACCCTGTCATGTCACAGATCATGTCAAAATTTGCGGGCAAGCGAAAGCATCAGCTCTGGGGTAAAGTGAACAAAACGGAAGGTTCGTAGCTATATGATAATGATTATTCTTTCAGCAAGAAGAAGAAAATTTTGGGACCGATAATCATTGTGTTTCATCGTAACCTTGAACTGACCAATTGTGCGTAATAGAGCAATCTTTCAAACGTTCGAAATATTACAGCCCTCAGCATCAATTTGAAGATATATCTGATGATGAAGGTGACGGTGAAGAATATCAATCAGATACATCTTCTTTGCCTGGTTAGTGCTTGTTTTGAGTAACGGATTCAGAATTTCCGATTGGCTAATTTCTGTTACATACAAATAAGATACCTTGGATCAACGTTTTGAATGGACGGACGGAGACGCCAACGAAGGAAGCGATTTGCGTGAAAAAACTCTGTCATCTATAAATGAGCCTCATGCCATGTCTCTTGGATGGGGTGGTGCTTTATCGTACAAACCCAAAGACTCAGCAGATGGATCGAATCTTCAGGCATCCACTTCCAGCACTGACGGCGATATACTACCATGGGTCATCGACACCGAGGGTACTCATGGTAGAAGCAAAGGAAAGATTCCTGATTATGAAATCATCAATATATCTGACAGTGAAGGGGATGAAAGCGTTCGGCTTAACAAAGACAACACAGAGTTTGCTCGTTCATCCGCCTTTATAAAGCTTGCAACACCCGATAACAGATCTACGAGAAAAGAAGGGAGGAAAAAACGTAAATCAGCTAAATCAAAAGGTGGTCGTAGGTCAGCAGAAAAAGCTCAAAAGCGTGATCGCATGGACGAAGATGACATGGAAATTTTACAAGACTACCTTCAGAATATCGGCGAAGAAGCATTTGACCTTGATGATCAAGCTTTCTATGGGTCAGATATCGAAGAAGATCCGTCATATTATATTTCAAGCGACTTGGAGAGTGAGTCAAACAGAATAGAGCCAGGGACAATCAATCGCTATCCACCCTCGGACATGGATAGTGATGAGGATCTTCTGTTCGCTGGGTATAATGCCTGGGATATACCAGATCCTGAGTATCAGGATACACATAGCCACAACATGTTTAAAAGTGTCATCAACGGATCTTTTGAGGATATTCCCCCTTCGCTTCATAATGGTGAGTAAAGAATAGTAGTAGTTGTGGCTGTGTCTTCCATGACTTACTTTGAACATCAACAGGTTTACGAGCACGAATGCGTCGACAGAAGAATGCTGGCTCATCCATAAAAACCGCAAGGCCCATCAATTACGAAAACAGCGCATTGCACCTTAGTGCAAACCCTCACGTCAACCTATACCAGCTGGACAAGTAAGTGATGGCTCATAATAATAGACGGTCGTTTAGATATCCGAAAGCTTACTCCTTATTTAGAACCCTACGTTCATTTGTTTCCGCCGATGACATGACGAGGTATTTTCGTATATTTTATATGCTGTTAGTGTGTTGGCCGTTTGACTGACAGTGATTTTATTAGTGTTCAAATGTCCTCTATTTCCAAACGTTCTGACCAGTGTGTAGTCACAACTGCCAGTTTCTATGGTTTCATGGCGGAAGTAGTAACTCATCGATCGAAAAGGTATGAAAGGTACCTCAGCGCTGCCTATTCTTTGCTTCTAGGTTTTTTAACGACTTTTCATTAGTTATATTATGCTGCACAAGACGGAGAATACCGGCCTTCCCAGTGATCGAGCCGAGCTTGACAAGTACATATCACAGGCGCAAGCTGAGCTACTTAGAGATGTGAATGTCCGCCAATCAACCAAACAAAAGACCAAGCAGAGGAAGGTGCAAGTATCAAAACGATTACATCGAAACTCCAAATCTGCTGGCACTGCAACCAAGATGTCAAAGACTTCAAGAGCTCGATCTGACAGCGGCAGATCTGCTCCATTCATGCCCGCACCAAGCCATGGTACTGTCGTGGGCGGAGAAGCTTTACCGATCAATACATCCAATGTCGGTCATAGAATGCTAGCTGCCATGGGGTAAGTAAAACCATTTAGGGATTTACAGAATATATACGCACGCCGACCAGTTCTGGTACACATTATTAATCGTTCTATTTAGCTGGAAAGAAGGCGATAGTCTCGGTGCCAAAAATACAGGCATCAAGGCTCCTATACAAGCCGTTATTAGAAAAAAGAGAGCCGGACTCGGTATATAAACATCTGCACCATTTCAACCATCAGTACTTCCCACTCATGAATGTTCAAATGATGAAACTATTATTATTGCAAAACTAGCTTAATGGCGTCTCTTTCTCGGCGGTGATCGAGATGATGATGAAACGGAGCGACTTCTTGATGAACGGGAATCTGTGCTAATTGAACGTGATCGAGAGCTGGAACGAGAGCGAGAACGTGAGCTAGATCTGGATCTGGATCTCGACCTTGACCTTGACCCACTTGAACGTGACGAATTTGACGAGCTGCTAGAGGAATCGCTTGACGAATCACTTTCGGAATCAGAACCTGAGCTCGATGAGGACCCCGATGAAGAAGATCCACTACTAGATGAAGATGAACTAGAAGATCTAATATAGATGACATGCGTTACCACCGCAAACTGTAAAAAATCGAATGCCATTTTGTCTTTCTTACCTTCTTCGTTTCTTTCCTTTTCCATTCTTTTCATCACGTTTCTTTGAAAGTAGCTTATTTGCTAATCCTCTCCTATAGACAATCATCAGCACTTCTGTATAAAATATGACAACAATTCGTAGCTAAAAGATAGCAAATGAAACATACTTGTCTAGAAATTCGGCAGGAACTTCTGGTTCTTGGAGTTTGATAGGTTTACTCAGCTGCTGCGTACGTGTTGGTCGAGCTTTGTAGCTCTTTGGCTTTTTGCACTCGTAGGTCTGTAACATTGGCCATGAGTTGTTGCGCTGGTGGTTAATCGCCCTTCAAACGCCGAAATCACTTACCCAGTGTCCGTAGTCCAGACAATTTTGGCATTGGGTTGAAGGGGATGCTTTCTTAGCATTCGATGGATATCTGGCGATCCCTATTAGTCAATCAACGATGTTCATTGCTGCGTCTTACGGATCAGTGTCGTGATATTTACCTTGGTCCTGTCCTATACATTGGTTGAATTGCGTTGCGAAGCAAAAAGAGGCGACGGTCAAAAATATGAAAATTTTGTGAGTGCGTAAATTGCACTTTCGCTGCCGCTCCCTAACCATTTTTTTAATACTTGCCATGGCATACGATCCAAAGTATATGGCCCTGGCAATGGAGGCAGCACACGTCGCTTACAGCTCTCTAGAAGTGCCTGTGGGCTGTGTTTTCGTGAGGAACGGAGAAGTTTTAGCGAGAGGAGGAAATCGACCGAATGCATCGCTTAATGTATGGTATCCAACTTGAAAGGCATTGCATTTGAGCAGATCGAATTCAAACGTCTTCTTCTTGTAGGCCACTAGACATGCAGAATTTGAAGCCATAGACGAGATTTTGTCCTCGCACCCTTCATCGATTTTCCGAGAGACAGATTTGTATGTCACAGTTGAGCCGTGCATCATGTGTGCCTCAGCTTTACGACAAATTGGTACGCTTATATTGATACTGGCTATTGGTAACATACACGTAATAATTAAAAAATGCAATTTAGGTATAAGGAAGGTTTACTTTGGTTGCGGTAACGATAAATTCGGAGGCAACGGTTCCGTATTCGATGTAAACCAAGAGTACGTTTCATTTTTCTACGCATTGGCTTGCGTGTCCATCGATGTTGTGGCAAACAGGGACTAATGGATGTACCATTTCATTTAATGAACAGTGAGAGACTTTTGACACCAACTTCATTACCATATGAGTCGGAAGGTGGTCATAGGCGTGAAGATGCCATCATGCTACTGAGAAAGTTTTATGTTCGGGAGAATAACCATGGCAAGTACCCAACACACAAGGCTACTTCATCTTTCAAAGTTTATATTTTGTAAAATTAACAAAAATGTTCTTCCGTTACCTTATCTATCAGCTCCACAACCAAAGAAAAAAGCGAATCGCGTCCTAAAAACCGAAATAGAATCCTCGTCTTAGCTAGAGACAGCTGAGAGTGTTGCTCTTTGATTTCTGTACATACTATATACCAGTAAAAATCATCACAGGCCATTACAGCCTGCCTACGACTGTTATTGTTCGATGGCTATCTGATGGTATTATCGGCGTTTTTCACGGTGGATGATTCGTCAGTGTCCAATGAATCGTGAGAACTTCAACCGTGCCAATAGCTCTTTTGCTAGGCGAACGGGTTGTGGCGATCGACTTCCGCTTTAGTCTATCGCTTTGCTCTTAAATGGTAGAAAATTTTGGTATCTTGTATCGTAAATTATTCTGTAATGTTTCTATTTGACGCCTGTGGTAAAATGCTATACACATCGATCGGCGACTGGACATCTTTAGTTGAGATACCCTATGGCGGGTAAACACCATTTCAGGGTGTAGTTTCTGGATTACTAAACCTGCAGCATTAAGGCGTGAACGTATATGGAAAAATTCTTATCTTAGGTGGAGAGGGACAAGCTGAGGAGGTGCGTTATTATCTTATCTTGGCTATGGTCTCAAACTCGGAAGCTGTTATCTTTGAGTGTCACGGTTTAGCTTACTGCACATATTTCTGACTAACTTGATAGCTTTTGAGAGTTCACCCTCTTTTGACCTCTCTGTGATTTCCTTATACCCTAATACCCAACGACACGCTGACTGCCCCGCTTGGTTATTACTTTATATATCTCAGAACAACTGTCAAAGACCTTTTTTTCTTAAGGCGTTTCCTTTATCGATGGCGCAACAGGGTCAACCTAATCAAGGAAGCCGACGGCCAAGCGGCGAAAGGTCAGCCTCGCCTCACATAGCTTGCGCAGACTGTCATAGGCGAATTACGGCCTACCAACAGCAAAACGAAGGGACCGCCGATGGAGAAAGCTCATCCAGCTCCGCCAAACCCGACTGTCCCGACTGTCAAGCTTGTGATCAACATTTTCGATTTTCAGCACGCACCGAATTAAAGTGTCATAACTGTGGGACGACTACAACGCCTCTATGGCGAAGAGATGAAGGGGGAAATACAATTTGTAATGCCTGTGGCTTGTATTTCAAACTTCATCACGTTCACAGACCTATTACAATGAAAAAGGCAGTTATTAAGAGGCGAAAGCGGTCCACACAACAGAACATGATGGCCCATCATCCAGAAGACACATCTTCTTTGTATGAGCAGACCGCCACCAGAGAGTACTTTGGTTACCATGCTGGTCATAATAGCCGAATGTCAACGTCATCCGCTAGGGAACCGGATGAAACTCACTATAGTTTTCGTCCTCAGGAACTGACGAATTCCACAGATAAGCTTCGACATAGAGAATCTTTAGACAACAGAATCACAAACCATCATATCCCATACCAATCAACCTCCCATTCGGATCGCTCTGGCTCCTTACCAGCCATCAGCACTATCATCGACAGATACCCTAGTGACGATAACAGGTCTGCCGCAAGGCAGAGTACATCCAGTAGCATGCATGACGGATCTCCACTTCAGAGACTGCAAAGCAAAAGGCAGCAGTTGAAAAAGGAAGCTGAAGAGATAAACAATTTATTGAGACAGACTTCCACCATCCTCAGTAGCGTAGAACACGTTTTAGCCACCTCAGAAGGCCATACCGACCGACGAAATTTTAATACCGTCCTTACTCAAGACCCCGATACCGCAAATGCGGTTGCGTCCATCATCGTATTTGGTGCTTCCGCTGTTTTGAACAACTCATCTTCTAGTCACAGACCTCCACCATTATAACTCTCTGTCATGTAACTCGAATCCTGTGATGATTTACACTGTTATTTTTTGGACACCTTTCGTCTGACCAATATTAGATAGCCATTTGGTAAAAGAAAAACTACTAATTCGCAGTTCCACCGTTGTATATAAAAGATTGTTTAAACGTAAAGAAATAAATACAAAATGTCTCCAATTGGTGATTAGTATGCACTTGTCTGTCTATCGTAGTTTGCACCACCAGCCTTTCTCAGACGTGTAAGGATATCAGCTTCATCGAGATCGGCCTTGTGAGAGGCAGGAACTTCAATGTGATAGCTACGGATGATGTTCTTGACATCAGCAATTTGGATGCTCAAACGAGCTCGCTTCATGATACCAACTTCCTCGCCGCACCAGGGGATAAGCACAAACTTTACTCTTTGAGAATATCTATACAACTCACTAGTCAGCGGATTGGGTCATGCCAGGCTTGAACCATGGTATACATATTTACTTACTCGTCATTGCTCATGTTCATGCGGACGTATCCCCAACCAGCGGTATCTTTTTGGAGCTGCTGGATGAATTCGGCCAAACCTCCAGATCCTTTAGCGGAAACTTGTAACCGATCGGGCTTCCCGGCAGCCAACCCAAAAAATGCCCAATTTGTTTCCGTTTTATCATCGCGGACGTCGTCATAGGCTGTGAGTAACTCGGGATCAGAGACAAGAAGTGACATTGTGTAGAAGATTTCAGAAAGGATGAAAAGTCCAGATGATACAATTTACCGGAAGGGATGATGGAAATCGGAGTTCTAAAGCGGAACGATATCCTGCTCGCAAATTGCAATATTGCAATAACCAAAGCATGATTTCATCTCATAGGCAGTAAATTAGACTTATGAAGCACATATTGATAGTTCAAGCTTATTCAACCGAATATCTTTATTGCAATTCACTCGTTTTTTAAAGGTAAACCGCTGCATTGCAATCTCTGTTCAGAATTGGTTCTACTGCAGCGACGTAAGTGGCACTCGCCAGCTGAGTTATCGGAAAGAGGTGCAGTGATCAGCTTGGAGCTACAAGAAAGTGCTACTGTAAGCTGCTCAACCACTTTGATCCGGAACAGCATCTCGTAAATAATCGTTCTCAACAACTTCTTCAGTATCTTTACCGCATGGGACTTTAAGGACCGATAAAAATGCGTCCACTGGCTGTGAATGAGTGTTTCAGCATTGGGAGGCAGATTTCCTGTCAAGGAAGCTACCCACGGCGAAATTTATTGCAATAATAAAATTATTAAAAGGAGCAAATGCTGTCTTTCAAAATTATGAAAAAGAAGCTGCCGTATTTACCATGCCATTCCTGAATGCCGAGAGCTTTTAAACACTTGCACACAACACTGCTCAAGTGCTTTTTCGAAATGCGCTCAAATGGGCCAGTGCGGAAGAATTTTTTACAAAACTGCTTCGATTAGGGTATGAATCCAGAGAAGAGGCGACATGGCGTGTTCGACAATGAGAAGGAAACATTCTATCCTCCCGTCAATTTGATTGAAAATATTATTCCAAACCCTTCCACTTTTATGCTCCAACTTGCTGGAGACAGTTTGCCTGGTGGCCGGCCTTCATTAAAGCGGTTCCTCTCAACTTTACAGCAAACTCCTGAAATGGCCATTTCCACCCCAACCTGGCTATCAGGAAATCAGAACACTTCCCGCGACTGCTCTCGCTACAAATTTCGCCCGCAAAGGCTGTACATCAGAAAAGCATTCGTTGTTGAATCATAACTTCTTTCCTTAGTACAGTACCTTAACGCCAACGGAAGAGATGTATCCTACCAGGTAATCGAGGAAAAGTCTACAAATTTATATGTACATATTCATTTGAACATAGCTGACGGGTTCTACAGTGGCTTGAACCTTCTGGTTTCCAGTCCGGGGATATCTCTTGGTATGTACTATTGCAGGGAATGATGAGAATGCATACTACGGACGTGTAGTGCTGGCGTCCACCAGTTCCTTTCATCTTCAAATTTATCCAGACTTCATCTCAGAGGATCCCGAAATGGACACGATGGTAGTCTATTAACTATAGCCTTAATCAAGATGTCATTCAAGCGGTTCGATAGTATTTCTGCTACATAGTCAAGGAAGGCAGAGATATGGAGGATGGTCATGCTGATTTGTATGACAGTACATTGACTTGGATGCCGAGGTGAGTTGTCAAGGCGAAATAGGCGTGGCGAACTTTATGGCAGCAACCGAGCTCACAGCTATGATGGTTGAGAACGGTGGAGCAAGATGAAAGCGTTGCTACCATTGAGATATTATGGAAAGAGGGATGAAAGACGATGTAATGTATGCTCGACTTTGTTTGAACCGTTGTGCTCTTAGGATTACAGCCCTAGATGAATTTCGCGTTTCAATTGCTGGCCTTGTTCGAGAGCCATGGATGGAAGTGAACGTGCTAGTGGTAGTCAAGCAAGTGATTGCTCCCGCTCAAATGACAATCAACGGTAAGTTTGACCATCTCGTACCGCTGGTTCAAAAATGGAAACAAGCCGAGGCGGCTTGGCTCTGAGCCTCTCTATTTGCTAGAAACACAAGCGTATTTTGCTTTATCATGTACTGTGCGAGTTGGGAACTATTCAAAAGCTTAGGTGAAATAAATAAAAGACGATCCTATGCCACAGATAGCAGGATTCGCTAACATTTAAATGAGATATGATATTTTTCTTAGCCTACCCACTCTCCCGCCGTTTCTTTTATTAAATGAGATGTCCTCTGGAATGTTATAAATCGCACAGCTAGCTAGCACACCCTTTCCCTGCAACGTTTTGCTGGTATTATAAGATACTAGTACTCTTATTTGCCCCGGTTGCTTATATGAAACGGATGCCTCGCTCCGCCTTCTTTTTCTTATTTGATATGACGCATAGAAGAGAAATGATCAATCTCCTTGCCTGCATGTTCCTTTTTTTTCTTGTATTCACTAAATTTGTGTTCAGTTTCCTTGATTTTGGCTTCCTGTGCTTTGATCTCTTCTAGATGCTTTGTGCGCTCGGTTTCGAGGGCTTTAAGACGAGATTCGGTCATGGCAGTTACGCCGGCATGATAATCTATCTCTGCTTGTTGATGCTTCTGTTCAATCTCGGCACCTTTTTGTTCAAGAAGTGCTTTTTCTTGCTGCAATTGCCCCATTTCCTCAACAGTGATCTGGGTCATGTATTCGGCCAATTTTTGTCCGAGCATGGGGCGGAGGTAATTGCCGTCATAATGGGTATAGTGTTGGTGGATATTGCTTTGGAAGCTATAGTGGAGATAGTCGGCGACATTCTGGACAGTGTACGCATCGGGTTTTGATGTTTCAAGAGATTGGTGGACTTCAGAAATGAGTTGAGCAGAAGCCATGTCGTAGACTTCGTTCAGATACTTTGAATTGCTTTCAGGAACCCCTGCTTGTGTAAAGATCTTCTCGTGCGTTTCGCTGGCCTCTTGTGATCGAGTATCGGGATGCTCATCCAGATACTTTTGGACGATCTTTTTGTTGCTTTCGAGCATTTTGCTGACAGGATCCAACACATCGTTGATGCGATTTTGTAATTGCTTATCTACGTACGCAGCTGTTGTGGGATCCTCAGCAAATTTGGACAAGGACTTTTCCGTCTCTTGGTGACCGGAATGGCTTTCGTACAAGTCGTAGAGAAATGCTGAGCCAGTCAAGAAGACCGAAAGAGCGATATCAGCACGAAGTCCATCGTATTGAAATCCATCTTTGAGATTCTCAAATCTGACTTTCTCCTCTTGCCCTGCGAATACTAATTCGCCCCAAGGAGCGTACGAAAATGTCAAGTACAGATCGTAAGCGCCTTTTGCGTTCCTCTCCACTTCGCGAAGGGCCACGTATTCATCTTTAGATGGAGCTTGACCGACGTACTGGCCAGTGATCTTATTAGCAGTGATCCCTAGTTCACTTCCACAGCCGACTATGACCTTCATAAACGTCCAAGCTTGTACAAGCCTAACATAGTTTTGCTCAAGATAGTCTTTCCATACTATATTTTGGGGTATCTCTCCCTTCAGTTTCCTTTGGTTGAAAGATTCATGAGCTGCCGCTACGGCTTTGGTGATAGCCCACATTTTGGGTGCCAAGTAGGAATTGACCATATCGATACCAAACATGTTGGATATGCCTCCACCAATGACAAAAGAAACGATGGTGTTGGGACCCACAACAGCGAATGCATGCACGATGAATCCAGCAAAGGCATGAGTACCGCCCGGAGCAAGTAGCATCATATACATTTTGCAAGGTTTTCCCCCTTTGGTGACACCGTTTATCCATTTGGCAGCTTTATGCTCGATCAAGTTGGAGCCCATGAGGAAATATGTGCTATCGGAGAAGGCGATGTTCTGTTCCTGGTATTTACGGAAGGTTTCTTGAGCGATAGGTTCAATCTTCTTCAAAAGTTCTTGGCGCTTCTGACGTGTGCCCATTGGGTCGTTGTAATCTTTTATAAACTGTGCGTGGACGGGATCGTCCATGTTCAAGACACCTTTCCAATCAAAGAAAGTGGATATATCATGAACTGCATACCTGCCATCTTCCTTCACCACTTCGTTGGCATTGACAAGTTCTAACCTGGTTACACTGTGGTACAAGTGAGAATTTAAGGTGTCGGTAGATGCAGCCTTATATTGTAGAACACCGTCCCGGCGTTGGTCGTTTTGTTCATAGTGCACGTCAGGAAGCATATCTAAAACGACCTTCGCTATGTTATCAATGACCATGTGACTTTCTGTTTCCACCATAGTGAGTGCACTCTTTTGACTACCACCTAGGCTATCAAGAATCGTCTTGTGGAATAAATCCTTGTCGAAAGCTGAAGACGCATCCCATGTTTGATTCACAGGAATATAAGGGAGATCCATGAGTTTGCGAATGTTGCCTTTTAGAAACACCTTTGGGTAACTAGTGAGATACTTCATAAAATTTTGCGCCATTTTGAGGTGGAGGAATCAAAGTCTATCGTTCTTAGGAGATGTGAGGTAGATTCGCTTTATATACCGTCGGAACTTCCGTAAAAGGGCGTAGGTCCTTACCTTCGATGCCCATTCGCTTAAAGCTTCCAAGTGGCAACACCAATCATCGACGCTTTTCTGAGAAGAGCAATTCGGTATTAATAGATGTGTAATACCAAAGGTGGTATCTTTCCTTTTACTAAGCTATTCGCTGGCATCTCGATTGTCAAAGACCTTCCCAGACTGTAGGGCGCGAATGCAGCATTTGCAGTGGCGCTGATTTTTCACCTTTTTTGGAAATCATTAGAGTTGAGTAACTCGTTCGAGGCACAAGTTGTCAGCATCCTTTGCAGAGCTTCTTTTTGCTGGAGAAAAGCCGTTGAGGATGTTTGCTCATCTGAATTAGTGTGTTTTTGAAGTTGTCGGATGAGATACACGATTTTGACGTGCATTTAGTTGATCATGTTTGACTCGAGATGCCATAACTCGACATGTTTCTACGAAAAATATATTTACACAAAGTGCCTCTAGAACACAGTATCGGGGCTACAGCATTTTATGTGGACTCGTGCTAGCATTGCATGTATATAACATTCATCTTTCCATTCCTACTCCTTGCACCCTATAAATTTCTGTTTAAGTGTTGCGCTCGCTGCGATTCCACGGAAGTATCAAGAATGAGCGGCTCCATACCAGATTTGAACTTGGATAACCCACTCTACCGCAAAGAATCTACCGATGTCGGCTGCACCTACTTTTTAGCATATCGCTCCGTTTTCCTTCAACCATTTTCTCCCATTCCTGATAACATATCGTCACTGTTGCCTAAGAAGACTATACAGGTCAATGTTTCTCCTCAAGGACTACCCACACTGACTGTGTTTGCCGAGGAGATTGTTATGTTGACAGGCAGCCAATATCGATTTCCTGGAGTCCATCTTGTCATTCACTGCCGGTCAATTTCGTTCATCGATTACAATCCCGGCCCCGTGGTCATTGATATGAGCGGTGAGGACAATACAACGCAGCGAAGCGACGGCTCAGGGCCCGGAGTTGCCAATGACGCAAAGTATACGGTTCACGAGAAATCCTTCTTGGGTGATCCTTGGCCATACAATCCCAGCCTGCTTAAAGATCAAACATTGGCCGCCAAAGGTGGAAATGCGAGTCATGGTAGTATAGGCCAACCAGGGAGTTCAAGCGGATCTTTCACTCTTACCTGCGACTTCCTTTGTGAAGATGTGTCCAAGTATTCGCTCCAAATCTTGACCCATGGAGGGGCTGGATCGTCTGGTGGCAGTGGAGGCAATGGAGCGGCAGGAGGAAATGGCGTTGAGATGCAATCAATCGAAGAGTGCTTACGTAATGATATCATTAGCGTTCGGCAAGACGTCTTTTTTTGGCTCTTACCTATGTATCCTCCTGCGACCGGTGGCAATGGAGGCAACGCTGGTCCAGGCGGATATGGAGGCAACGGCGGTGATGTTAACATCACGTTCACCATCAATGGAAAGCAAGCTACTGATGATGAAAAGAGTAAACTTCTTCTGATAGATGCTTCCGCAGGACCCAATGGAAAGGATGGTGTGCCAGGATCAGCTGGCGATGCTGGCAAAAAGCCTAAATATCCACTGAAAACTACTATTTGGGAATCAGAAAAAAGCAAACTTGCTGACCTGCCATCGTATGTGGTAAAAGAAGAAAGAAGCGAATATGTTACATTTCCCGGTCCGAAAATGTATTTTACCGACTGCACAGTCAACTTGGACAGCATGAATGCAGTTGGTGATATTCCGACAGCAGGCATATTGGTCGCGCGAGACGCCAGTCAAACAGCTCCTAAGGCTGGTAACGTTGTCATCACGAGTGGCGTCTCCGCATCCAGTATAGCTAATGTCTGTATCCCTGACTTTCGTTACATGACCATGCTGGTAGATCGACTGGTATTCGAGCACTTTGTCCACTTCACCATGCAAAAATACACCTCTGACGATTCACAGTCGCTTATCAGCACAAAGTCGATTGCCGAGCTTGTCATGCCGTTTATTCAAAGCAAGACATGGGTCGATAGCATCATGGAGAAACTGAACGATATCTCTTCTTCAACCGATCCAAGCGTCCCACCGCCTACTTATTCTGTGTCGCAAACCTTGCATTTGAAGCTGCTTCAGTCTAACTATTCGGCCTTGCAAGACAGTATCCATCGTGGTACCGACATCTTTCACAATAGCCTCGATCAAGTTGGCCAAGCTGGACTAGGTGTCAAACAGATGGACGATGCCAACGCAAACTATATCTTATTGGAGCAAAATCTTGCTAAGGTTGGACAGCAGTTGATCGAGCGTCAGGGTAAAAGTACCGAGATACGTTCGCAAGTCATCAACTCCCTGCAAGCTGCTAGTGTGTCCATTAACAATCGCAATCAGATCATTGACAACCTTACGACCCTGAAAAGTCAAATCATTGCGGCTGATAGTCTTGTCAGAACACGTCGCTTGCAGGTAGAAAGAGCTCTGGTACATGCCGAGGATAAAATTCGCAACAAAGCACAGTGCAATGTCACCGATATCTTGTCAGCTATTTCCATGGTGGCCATGTTTCTGAATCCTGAGTCTGTAAGTGTTTCTTTGCATTTGATTGTTAAAGAGGGTAAATTTCATCCATTCCTAATTTGCCGGTCCCTGTATTGAACAGGCAGTCGTATTTGCAATTGGCGCCATGGTCGAAGTAGGCGTAGGCATTGGCAAATCGGTCAATGCATCGTTCAACACCTTGGATACGGAGACTGGCGGTTCCGTTGACAAAAGTTACTTGTACGGCCGTATCACTACGATTGGCAAGGAGATTGATCCTACGGAAACGCTGCGCGAAGAATTCAAACGAGCAGAGGGCGAAAGGAAAAAGCATGCGACCGATTATCTAACCCAAGTGAAGGCACAAGCCAGCAAGTTTGAATCGTTGTGTGAGCAGTACTATCAAATTGAGGGCGTGGCTGAGGGAAAGGCGGCATTCAAGCAATTCATTGAGGCTGTTCAAGTGAAGAATGACCTTCTCGATGATTACAACAGTAATTTCCTCAAAATTGTCAGCCTGCAGGTTGAAGCGGACAAAGCTAAGGAGGTGGCGACCAGGTTGCAGGTTGTCGGCAGCTTGGATGAATTGCAAACCGACGAATTGCAGGTGGCGTACGCGTTCTTGGAGCAAGCGCTCAGCGATATGAAAAAGCTGATGATTTACAAGCTTTACAACATGGTGCGCATGTACAATGCTATTACACTGAGACACAGCGAAATGGTCGCTCCGTTAGCAAGCTTGCAATCTTTCCATGGCATCAATGCGACCATGATTTCAACCATTTTCAACACGAGTTTCAAGGAACAAGACTTACCATGGTTGAGGACGGCGTTCAATAAACATCAAAGTGCAAAAACCAGAGTATATCTAGACTTGACAGAAAAAGACTTTTCGCCGATGTTCCAGCAGTTACGAGAGAAGGGCCATTTCACCTACACCCTGGAGCATGAGGCAGCCTGTTCTTTGACTTTGGGGCCGCGTCGTTTTATGAAAGAATGGTTCGATGTTCGGTACGCATCAGTAGGCGTGTATTTTATTGGAGCTGTGAAACTCGATCATCCCGTTTCCGATCCTGTCGCCGTCATTAATACCACCGTCATGAGCCTGGGCGCTTCCAAAGTGCTGGACGCTAAGGGGGTTTGTCACAAATTCTACTTTCCTTCTTCCAGCGTTCCCTTCAGCTACTCCTATAATAATCAAGCATCCAAAGACCAATTGGGTATAGCTGACTTGAAGCCGCACTCCTCGGTGGTTGTCAATGATACCTTTCGGTTCGAGCTTGAGGAAGACCACAAGCACGATGTGTATGTGCAAACTCCTCTCACCACTTGGCACGTGGATCTGGATGAGGTATACAGCAAAGAGGAATTGGAGAAGGATCCTAAACTTAAGACTATGGTGGATTTGACCAACTGTCATACTATTCAATTGTGGTTTGACATTGTCTACCGTAGCCGAGGTGGAGATTGAAAGTCCCAACATCAAAGCCTTGCATATAGAAGCCCATGATAGATCCCATCAACCACTCGTAGTCTTCCATAATTTATTTCTTTCATCCTTTCTTAAAAACCTGTATTTAAAATGTACCGTCATCGTTTTGAAAGATATGGGAAGGAAAATATAAAAACCCTTACAAAATCTATGACCTGGGCAGTTACCAACTTGAGAAGTAAATATATTTGAGACTGGCACACATCGTCAATTGAGAACATCCACCACAAAATTGTACGTCAAGTCATCCGTTTATGATAGAAAGCCACTTGCTTCAAAGGGTTTGAGGACAGGGAAATATGCGGATGATGCTTGAAAATTCCACCTATGCTACTCAGTAGAGTGGCGCGAGTTGTCTTGCCCCTTCAAAGCGCCATTGGAGTTTAAGAAGCAAGCTCTTTCAAATGTCGAATGGGAGCAAAAATAAGGGAGTAAATATATGGTTGCGGTTCTCAGCGACAGAGTTACTTCATTAGTGATTCACTGAGCGTCAAACGAGACCTTGTGCTTGATTTCGTATGGTCGGCCCACAGGTTGCGGTTACAAGCGTGTGGTACCATGATGTACCATTTGTACATAAACGTAGATATGGAATACGGTGCGAACTCGCTCTTATGCTTATGAGATTCGCTAGGAATGAAATGTGAGCGGAAAAAGATTTGAATGCGAAAAAAAATTAGATGGTGCAGGGTTTGATTCACATTGAGAGGCAATGCTGGATGGCAGTCAGTGTAGGCATTGGCTTTGAATTATTGTAAGATTAGATACCAAGTAGCGTTGACAGGAAACTGGTGCGTTAAACCAATCCCGATTTAATTGAACGGGTCGGCTACTCGTCATATGATCGGTAGGGGGATCAGCACACACACACTGCAAACATAAACCCATAACCAAGAAATTCTCTATTCACCACACATAGGCTCATAACTAAAGGTATTATATTCAGCATTTGAAAGTCTGCTCACTTCACTACTTTAATCCTTTTACAAATTATATCGTAAATAAGCAGCGTGATTTTCACAGCTGTTATCACGACCGTATACCCTGTTTTCAGGGGTTGCATAATAACGCCGGCTTCGCAACAAGCTGCGTTGTCGTTTTATTGGTAAAGGCAGTGATCGCCCTCCTACTCAAGGCGGATCTTGTATATTTAGTTACACGAGCAAAGCCACAAATCCGATCTGCATAAGAAAGTTTTTCACCAATAATGTAACCACAACAAACGTTTCGGAAAAAAAAATCGCAGAGAAAGCGAAGATATAGCATAAGTCACCATAGTATTCAACATACTAATAATACATATACGCTATGCCTTTCACTAAGGGAAATCAACAAAAAGCTATATACATGTACAACAACAATGATAGGATTTGTAGAAAGATAGAAGTTGAAAAGAAACAAGGACATACTGGGAACATTGTGCCGAAGAAGTGAGCAGAAGAAGCAAAGAAGTGGCTAATATAGAAATGTCAAAGTAGTTTACGAATTGTGTGAATATGCATTCAAATATTATAAGATACACATGACCAAACAACGGAAAGAAGCATACACACAACCGGCATTAGAAATGGAAGGGGTTGTAGATGCGATACAACATGCTGAGAGGTCGGAGTAAGGTACCATGTCATAAAGACAAGTAACCATTCAAAATGGACGTTGATTTGGTCAAGCTTACCTCTAATGTGGAAAGAGATGGCAGGCATATCACATCATTTTTATTGACGACAAGGGGCATGAGTTCTTTGAACTTAATCTCAAATTTTCGCTAAGCGTATGGCATTGTCTGAATGGAAAAGGAACGGTTGAGCTACAAGTTCGTTTAACGCGTATGGTTAAGAGTCTCGGAAAATGACCGTTAACGGTGAAGGGAATGCCCCAGCATATGGGCCAAATGTACTTGGCAGGTAGATGATAATAAAGCGCACACAAACGACTGTTGGTCCTCTACTGGCGCAATGTGGATATGGGGCCTGCTCTGGTCCGCTTTGGCATTCCTGGCTTGAAAGCAGAGAGACCGCAAAAACTTGGCCCAAGGACTCGATAAGATTGGTACCACACCTAGTAACAAGGCTGTTGAATTTGGCCGAAAGTTTGTTTTCTGGTCTGGTATAGCGTACTCTGGTGATTCCCAGGAAGTATCGATGAAATTCCCCCTGTTTTTCGCTACAGTAGCCGGGTCAAACTCAAGGAAAAGATGGTACCAGGACTAGCAAAAAGGCAAAATTCCAAATGTTAGCATGAAAGTGCGGAGATTTGTGCCAAATTTCATTCAAATTGTGCCGTAAAACCAGGGGAAAGTGGGAAATGATTTGAGGTAATGGTTGGATCTGTCTATTAGACTTCCATAAAAGGCACAACTTAATGCGAACAAATTAATTAACAAAAAAATTATGTAGGCGAAACTATCATTGCAATAGTCACTTGAAAATAGCATTGTATGAAAGAAAATTTATATATGTATAGCTGGTACCTCTCGGGTTCAGCCATTCGTCTGGCGTCTTCTGCTAGAAACCATAGTAGCTCCTATTAAACACGATTTTCACGTCATCAGGGGTAAGTAATGTATTTCTCATTGTCAGAATGCATATTAATACCAACAAAGTAGCATCCTATACAAGATATCATGGCATATCTGAGTTTCCTAAATGTGATTTTGCACATTAGAAGAAAAAGGTCAATACGAATAGAGTAAAAGCACAAGCAAATAATTGTAAAGAATTTCGCCAAAGTATTTTCTGTTTTATATTAAAGTTACTTTAACAGTGCCATGTTCATACATTTATCAATTCTGTTAAAATAATTAATTAATATCATTTATGCAAAGAAAGGCGCGGAAAGCGGGAATTATTTTGAGGGGAGAGTATGTTGATGGAGGGATTTTGAGGGTAGAGAGTATGTTTGGAGGGTAATTTTAAAATATGGAAGGAGTTATGGGTAAAGCAAAGTATCGAGTTCTAGTCAAGGCTGTTATGAAGTGGATATGGTGAGAGGAGGCATGAGAAGATTTTGGAGAGAGAGTAAGGTGGTGGCAGCATAATGTGGTGGAAGGCGAGAGTAAAGGAGTGAAGAAGTAAAGGGAAGGTTGCTATAAAAAATAAAGGGTGATTAAATTGGGTTAAAAAAAAATTTTGATGATCAGTATTGTTCCCCTTTCGTTTCCCCTTTCCTTTTAACTATCTTGATTCCTTCCACTCTCCACGGCAACTGACGTCTATGAAAAGCACTGGCCGTGCTGCGGAAGCATGAGCGGCAAAGGGTTGACTTGCACTGAGTCAAACCGTCAGATAGGCTCATAGTATATGCTCGAGCAACCCGGAAAATGCCTATTAAAGCGAGCCCCAAATCTTACCGGCACTATGCTGAAGGCTAAGCGCAGACATGGCTTGCATACTTGGACTGAAAAATACTCATGGCTCGGAGGTTCAGGCTGGCCACCTTCTTTACACT